CACCACAATCCCTTCTCCATTCTCTTCTCGGGATCTTGGGCATGCACGCACATGCGCCCTGCAAGAGTTTAAGCCACCGGGTCCAGGATTTGAACAGCAGTAGACAAAATGGGAGTCCAGCGACATAGCCATTACGCCATCTGCTGGTCCCCCAACCCATATGTGGGGAGCCAAGAAGGAGACTTGAGGAACGTGTAGGATGTGACCACTAGATGGAGACCAAGGTTATTGTCTAGACCTAACCTTGGGTGTCTAAATTGTTACGTGCAGAATGTTCCAAGTATTGTTGCAACAACCTGATAAACTCAGCAAGGACTTTTGAGTCCCACGTTAAGGAAGCCAAATGTTTCTGTATAAAACACAGCAATAAACTTAACTCGTGGCTGACCAGTACTGACTGGCAGTCCTCCCATTTCTATCCTGTCTTCTTGTCTTTTCTTTAATCCTCGCCCCCCAACTCAGGAACTGTTCACCATCGGCAGGTCCACACCCATATATTTTTATCCCAGGTTCCTTCAATCCACATTTTTAAAAGAATTATTTATTTAGGGGGCCAGCAGGTGGCATGGTGGTTAATGGTGCTGGACTGCCATGTGGACGACCACACTTCAAGTCCCAAACCTGGCAGCTTGTTTTCTCACGTTCCTTCTCTTTCTCTCTCACTCAGTCCCTCTTTGGCCAAATTACAATAAATAAATAAAGTTAAATAAAATAATTTTCTTTAAAAAAATAAAATTATTTAATTTTATTTATCATTATTATTTTTTAATTTGTTATAGGGCACATGTACTCACCACAGAGAGAAAGAAGGGGGGTGGGGAAGTGAGAAAGCAAGCTGTAAGGTCTGGTACTCGAATCAGTTGGCCATGTTGGGAGTCCAGTGCTTTGTTCACCATTCTACCTGCCGGTTCTGACACACAACGTTTTAATCTCCATTGATATGCTCATAATTTTTCCATATGCTCATAGATTTTTATACTCACCTACACATAAACACAAATGTGTGCTCTCTTTTGTAAAACTTGGGTCACATACACCATTCTGAACTTGGATAATCTCAGCTAACATCTGAGAAATGACAACATTTTTTTCAAAATACATCATTCCACTAAAAATGCTCTACTCTCGTCATCACCAAACCTTAGCCTTTTCATGTATGGCCTCCATGCGTCTTTATGTCTATGAGCTAGGTATTCAAGCACTGGGTTGCCCAGGTAAAAAGCCAGGTGTATTTCTATTTTTAGTTTTGATAGCAATTCACACTCCAAATGGCAAAGCATGCGAAGGCTTATTTCCTTGAATCATTCTGCCTGTCCCCCCAAGTATGGCATATTGTCCCTCTCAATTTTATCAAGTTGTCGGGAACCAGCAGTTAGCGTAATGGCTATGTCACTGGACTCCCACATAGTCAACCGCGGTTCGTGTCCCGGACCCGGTGGCTTAAAACTCACGCCGGGCACGTGTGCGTGCGTGCCCAAGATCCCAAGAGGAGAATGGAGGAGAAGGAATAACAGCATGACCACCCCCCCTGGGGGGTGATTTATCACTTTCTGTCTCTATGTCTCTCTCTGTCTGGCTGGCGAGCGCACACACCCTATAGCGAAAACCTCTCCCCCCAAAAAAATTTTATCAAGTTGTTAATGTCATCACATGAACTTTCTGAGTCACCAACAGGCATAGACTCCCACATGGCTGACCACAGTTCAAGTCCCGGACCTAGCAATTTGAAATTCATGCTGGGTATGTGTGTATGCATTCACCAAATCCCAGAAGGATTATGAAGGAGAAGGAATTGTGTCTTGGCCATCCCCCCCCAGGGGGTAATTTCTTACTTTCCCTCTCACTGTATGTCTCTCTGGTGAGATCACACATGCCCTATGGCAAAATCCTAAAAAAAAAACTCCACTAAATATGATCAAATTCCTTGTCATCTGTTAATATTTTTCTTTATTCATATAATGAATTATAATACAACATTACTTAAAATTCACATCTTTTCATGTCTTGACTAAATCCTACTCAATTCTTTAAACAACCTGGCTAGATTTAACTTACTAGTCTACTTGGAAATTTTGTACTTACATAAAAATCAATCCATAGTTTTCATTTATGACCTTGATTTTAGCATTGAGGTTATTCTACCATTATTTTAAAAAGGGAGGAGCTTTAGAACATTTTCTATTTTCTAAAATATATTGAACAGTACTCATCTGTTTTGCAAATGATAAACAGCTGCTAAGACCTGGAATCTTTTTAATGGCCAAGGGGCTTGCCTGTCCCAGGCGAAGGTGGCTGGGTGGCCTCTCTTCTAGTCCAACTACACAGACAAGGCACTTCCCCCACCCCAACTCCTTGAGGGTTTCAGAACTCTCAGCCTCAGAAGACTTTTCCAGGCTCCCACTGGTAGCTGTGCTGTTCCACACAGAAAGCAGAGGGAAAAAAAGGCATTGTGGTGGGACCAACAGTTGGCGTAATGGCTGTCGCTGAACCTCCCATGTAGTCGACTAAGGGTCGAGTCCCAGACCCAGTGGGTTTAACTCACACTGGGTGCATGGTGCATGTGTGTGCGTGCTCAAGATCCTGAGAGGAGAATGGAGGAGAAGGAATTGTGGTGTGGCCATCTCCCCATGGGGGATGATTTCTCACTTGCTGTCTCTCTATCTTTCTGGCAAGCACACATACCCTATAGCAAAAATCTCTCAAAAAAAAAAAGAAAAGAAAAGAAAAAGAAAAGGCACCGGGGCCCCAATTTCCAGTTTCCTCAAGTGTCTGTAAGTAACAGCACTACGTGTTTCCCTTGCCTCAAACATCCAGCAGTTTCAGTCCTCACTGTCCTTGGTGCCCTTCCTCATTTGGTCAGCTCTGAGACCAGAAATTGCTTTCCAACACCATTAATAAATCTCACTAATATCCGGCCTCTAATAACAATCAACAGCTCAGCTGTCCTGCTGCTTTGGTCTGAGGTTCTGTTGTTTATTTGTTTTTCCACCCTTAACTCAGTTAAACAAACAAACAAACAAAACCACAGGTGGTGTCATAGTTCAGGCAGTGAACTCCCACATGGCTAACTGCAGTTTAAGTCCCAGGCCTGGAGGGTTGAAAATCAAGCCAGGTATATGTGCATACATAGTCGAAACCGAGGAGAATGCAGGAGAGGGGACTGTGGCATAGCCATCCTCAGGGGGTGATTTCTCACTTTCCCTCTTAATATCTCTCCCTGTCTCTCTCCAGTGAGCACACGAGTCCAACGGCAAAAACCTGGGAGAAAAAAAAAAAAAAAGAAAGAAAGCCACATAAGGAGCGAGAGAGAGAGAAATCCCTCTCCTAAAGTTATCTTAAATAAATTCCCTTTAAACACTTGAACTTCACCCATATAACAGAAATATTAATCTCTAGGTACAGATATGAGGATTAAACACAGCAGACCAGGGTTTGGCACATTATTTGCAAACAATGGTAACTTTGAGCTCACTTACCAATGTTGCCATGCTCAAAGAATCAAATTCCTCCCTTCCTCCTTTTGTTTTCCCCAGAGATTTTTGCTATTAGGGTACATGCACTCACCAGAAAGGCAGAGAGAGACAGAAAGCAAGAACTCACTCACACACACACACATACACACATACACACACCCCGGGGGGAGTTGGCCACTCTGCAATCCTTTCTCCTTTGTTCTTCCCCTAGAACCTTGGGCCCATGTGCCCAATGTGTCCCATTGGGCACATGTGCCCAATGTGAGTTTCAAGCCACTGGGTCCGGGACCCAAACCACAGATGGCCATGTGGGAATCCCGCGATATAACTGCTATGCTATCTTCTGGTCCCCTCATCCCTTTTCAAATACCTGTGTAAGCTAAATATGTATCTTTCTTTCCCTTCTGCTCACAAAACCACCACAGCTGATTTTTAATGTAGCTATCATTTTTCTCTCAACTTAAAAAATTAAGATACACATATCATGAGATCAAATTTAGATGCACACACATTAGGAAAGAAGGGGGGATTAAGTAATTTACATTTGAACAAATTAAATCTCAAATCTAAATTGTTTATAAATCTGGAGATACACATTTAAGAGTCTTTAAAGTGTTTGTTTGGTATCTTGCTCTAACCAGCACTGATGAGTCAACTTTTAGCACAGTAGAGTTCAGGACAGAAAATAACTGCTTATTAGCAAGGAGCAAATTTTCCTCCCTCAAACATTTTAATCACCTTCATGTACCAATGAAATATACATTCCTCTGAAAGACCTAGGCTTAAAGATTTTTTTAGGACAGAAAGACAAAAGGTAGCATAGTTACCAGATCATAAAAAGGTACACAATATCTTTTATTCTAGAATTGGTATTTATCAATTCAGAAGATTTGGAATGGGTGGTCTTGTTTTTATCTGTATATACCTAGCCTAACTGCAAATATTCATATAACTCACATAAAGAAACAAATCTACTTATCTTCTTAACTAATTATACTAACAGCTGTTTTAAGAAGGCAGAATTCTGATCAATAACAAAACATTATCAGTTGACTTATGTGTTAACCAAAAAAACGCAGTTACCTGATAGCAGTCTCCCTTAAGATTGTCTAAGACGTCACCACACGTTTTTCGCATGTATTTCTTACATCCATCAATCACCATTTGGTCAATGTCCAAAACTGGTTAAGGAGAATTTAGATATATCAAAGAATTGTGAAATAGTAACATTTTAAAGAAAAGGTTAAGACAAACATATTCGTTGTATAATACTAATTTGGATATCAAGAGTAAACAAAAAAAGATGACTAAAACGGTGATTTTATTTCACACTAAAGACAATGAAAAGGAACTGACGTTTCTTCTCATGAACTGTCTTCGGGAAGCTATTTGGACAACTGCTGAGCAGTAGACATGGTGCCAAAGTTACTGGCTCTTCGATCAGAAAAACACGGTATGACTTTCCTGACGACCTCACAGATTATGCTGGCTTCTTTGTCGGTGGCCACATAAAAGACTACTGGTATAAAACTGAAATGTTTCTTCAAGGCAGTCGCTGACAAGTTTGCCTGAGCTTGTGGTGGCATTAACTCAAGTTTTAAGATATGAAAGGAAAGAAGGAAACAATAGCCCACTGAACTTGCTCTCTTATACGACAAAGGATATCTCTACCATAGTGACCATCTTTGGTTTCAATTTGACTATTTCACATAATATGCCGCCGTCTCCACCTCCCAGAATCAGTACATCCTTGCCAGTGTAATCTTCTTTGCCGCTGCCCATGATGGCCCGGGTATATGCCACTGCCAAATCTAGAGGGAGAAACAGATCCAAAATGGTGACGCCACCCAGAAACATACAGCAGCTGACCCCACCACCCTAGCCAGTGCTGGAATCAAGTCTCGTATGTAAAATGTTCACTTTCAATCGCCAAAAACTGTCAACATGCAAGGTCAACATTTTTTCTTTTTAGATAAAGGACTTTGCATCAATCCTGCTCATCTGACACCTAGTAAAAATGAACATTGGTGGGAAGAATATCCAGTCTTAAGAATGTGTTGATTAGGGAACCAGCAGTTAGTGTAATGGCTATGTCGCTGGACTCCCACGTAGTCGACCGCGGTTCAAGTCCTGGACCTGGTGGCTTAAAGCTCACGCCGGGCGCGTGTGCATGCGTGCCTAAGATCC